TTATGTATTGTTTTTGGAGTCTCCTACTCTTCATAGGGCTTTTTCTTTAGCAAGATGGCAAGCACCCCCCTCAGCAGTCCTGGAGGGGAGATACAGCAAGACACCTATGGCAGAGAGGGTTTGCCCTTGTGGTGTAGGAGTGGTCAAAACAATTGAACATGTTATCTTCTCTTGTTGGTTTTAGCAAGATATACATGTTAAGTTTCTCCTCTGCTTAGAAGGTGGCAGGCCAGATCTGATGCTGAGGTTGCTAAGAAGCTCTTTTATAGGCATCAATGTGCTGTCAACTGTTCTTTGTACAAGTTTTTTTTTTTTTGCAGCTGCTTGCAAGATTCATAAAGATATTGTACATAATGTTTTAAAATATTAATATTTATTTTATTCTGTAACAGGTAATCTTAAATAATTTTATATTTGTTTATTGTTTTGTTTAATAATTGGGATATTTTAATTTATGGTGACATTTGTAAACTGCCTATCATGAATGAGCTGCTTGCTGACCATAATACACTACAATACGTACTCCAATATGCTTGCAAACGGCTTTGACAGTGCATTCCAATTTCCAAGAAACACAAATTTGATATCATGGTGGAGAATGCACAGGTCAATGCAGTGTATTCCCTCAAATGTTGGAGAAGTATGGGTAAGTATGTTTGTACTATCATGCCTGGGGTAGTGAGGATGCCCCCAACTGAAAGATTTTGGACAATGGTGCTTTTTAAAATGTGGGAATGTATTAAATTCTGCATTATGGAATTGTTTAGTCTAGTTTTACCTAGACCTTGCTGGTGTAAAGAACTCCCCTTCCCTCCTACAGCCCCCACAAATCTGCTCTGGAGGATTTGCGGACTTGAGAGCAGATTGGCGAGAAAGAGGAATCCCTGCTGAGTGAGGGAAAGTCCACTTGCATGCAGTTGATTCTTTTTCATATCTTGGTAATCTGGAACCACATACTTCACTGTTAAGAGATTTTGCTGTTGTTTCTATAAGCCAAAACCGGATGGCAAAGTAAATTTAAAATATGCTGCTTCATGAAGAAACTGAGTTAATACAGTTTGGTAAGATATGACTGTACACACACTTTCACTTCCCAATTTTGTAAGAAGAGTTCAGATAACTTCTCAGGGACGGCCATGCTTAAAATATCAGTGGTGGAGGATGAGTTCACAATATTAATGTATCTCTTTCTATTCCTTGTCAATGAGTGTTTTTATTCATATCCATGGATCTGTGTGTGTGTATTTAAAATGCAATTTTGATATTTTGCTTTTTCCCCCCAAGAGGCATGTTTTGAAAAAATGAAAGTGGCTTCATTATGCAGAAGTTTTATAACTGTGAGATTTGGGCACCAGAACAATTTACAGATGGACAACTGCCCTATTATCTCTCCCCTACTCTCCATTTACTACCCTTCTTCCAGAGGTCAGGGCAAAGATTGTAAGGGTTAACTTTATCCTCACAGTAAAGCTGAAGGAGATTTTAGAGGTTGTGATTAGCTCAAGGTTAGGGATTTGAAACTAATACTCACTCATCTGAATCAGACATTCTGTCCTCCAACTAATGTATAACTCCAGGTATAGCAACATGCTAAAGTATGTTGGTTCACATACTTTATTCAGTGATTCCATGCCACCATCTTCATCCACTTGCAAAAATCCACCATCCCTTGCAAAGCTGCATGACAAGATGGGAAAGGGGAGTGTCGCTTCCTCACTCTAGAAATACAGCAAGGAAAGAAGACAGCATCACCTGTTGATGATGACAGCATCACCTTAACCATATACACGAGGAGAAACGACATTTTCTGTGCATGCTCAAACAGTAGAACTAAGGTAGAGTTGGAAGAGGCCTATAAGGCCATCAGTCCAACCCCGGCTTTGTGTCCGTATGTGGTCACCGATCCAGATAAAGGCCTGTGCTTTTCCAGCTTAGCAAAAATGAGTTAACATGCTAGCTTGATGTATAGCTATGCACACTATTAAACTCATGAACATTAGAGACATCCTGAACCTTCTTCAGAGAGAGATTCACCAGGATTGGGAGGCCGAGATGGGTGCTGGGCAGCACTGAGGAGTCGCCTAGGCAGCCCCTACTTCTCCCTCAGTCGCGCCCCGTACGCGCGCCAAGCTCCTCCAAGCGAACTCTCCATGGCCCGCCTACCCCGAAGTGACCCTCCTTACGGAGAAGGGCGGGGATATGGGAGGGAGAAAAACAGCGATTGGCTGGGGCTCGAGAGCCTCTATGGCCTAATTGGCTCGGCCTTTCAAGCCCCCCCCCCCTCGGCGTTCCTTTCCACGCCCAGCTCCTCCGTCTGCCAAATTCAAATCGCTGACACGAAAGGAGAATTTAGCACTGCGAGCGGCTTTCTGAGCAGGGAAGGAAATAGGTAGGTAGGTAGGCAGGCTGATTGAATGGCACGCTGCTGCTTGGGAGGATTTCCCCACACGGGCAGGGCGGGAAAAATGAAAGTAGCTGGGCTGAGCCTCAAGGGAATTCCAAAAGAAAGGAGGCGGGTGAAATCAGCTGGCGGGACTGGTGGCGCCAAACGTTTTAAAACTGATCTCGGAAGGGCTCCGCCCCCTCGCCAATCAGAAGCGCGTATGCCACAAAGGGGGAGGAGTCGGGTCCCGTCCGAACGAATCCCTGCACTCCAACTAGAGGAGAGGGAAGCTTGGTGGCAAAGTGTGAGGGACGGGAGTGAGGCTGGTGAGTGAGTGAAAGGTGGCGGTGAGGAGAGAGGTGTGCCGGGGCTTGGGCGTTGATGGGGCGTATGGCAGCGGACGTGATGCGAATATCGGACAGCGCGTTGGAAAAGGCGAAGCTGAGGGTTGCATCGTGGAGCGGGCTGCATTTTGTGGCCAGTATTCTGGCGCCTGTTAAAAACTGCTTTGCATAACCAAGGGCGTGATCCTATGCAAGTTTGGACAGGGGGAAAAAAATGCCCTGCAGCTCTCCGCGACCCTCCTGCCCCCAAGTTTCCACTGTAGGGACCTGTAGGGCTCCTCCCTCCAATCTTAACGTGCTTAGGATTGCTCGCTAAGCTATGTTGACTGATCTTTGGGTACGCTGCCTTGGCTTCGTGAACTTTTTACTGGGTCCGTGCAGACGCCGCTTCTGGTACACTGGAAAAAAGGAGGGCTAGCATGCTTTTTATTAATCCCCAGTTGATCCTGTTTCTGTGGGGTTATGAATTTGTGGACAGCAGCCTGCGTTGTCGAAGTGTGGTAGCTTCCCTTGGTTGCATCAGAAGAAGCAGCCGTCTGGGGTGTGAATGTTAGTGCCACAGTCCGCTTTGTAATCTCTCCTGGAGTTATTCAAAGAGTTAGCAAGGGGCTTTTGGGATGCTCTGGGTGACGTTCTTAATGAGCTGTAGCTCGGCCTTCTTCATAGAATTTTAGCTGGGGGGAGAGGTCTGGATGGCAGCAAGAGGTCTGGGCACTCCTGTAGGGTAGGGGTGGCTGCCCTATTTATTCTCTGTGTGTGTTTTCTTTTCTGCATGGAAAATATCTAAGAAAAGATGGGATAGCTTCACAATGCTTTCTGATTATTCACAATAGAATAATCTTGCAATAGAATAATCTGCTTGGATACTTCCTTGGTTGTTTTCACTATGGAAGACCTAACACCGCTTCTCTTTTGTAGTGACACAGTTATCACTGAAGTGGATCGCACAGGTAGCACAGGGCACTCTGACTGGGTTTTTAGTTCTTCTTACAACATATGTGCACCCTTACGCATTGGTATGGGAGTGTAATTTATGCACAAAGTTTTCCAAAACAGATGAAATGATGCTATGTCCTCTTTAAAGAGTTGGAATAGGAAAAGGCTGCTTTTAAAGTGTACTGGCCCTGTGAGTATAGGAACTCCATGGGTTAAGTAATTGGCCCACCTTTATTTCACAGCACAAGAATTCCATGGAATGTGTACCTTTGTTCCACAGTAAAATATGTTTCTCTACAACTGCATGAACAGGAACAAGGAAACTCAGCCTGAGAAACAAGTTGCAGGTTTGGTATGTTTTGTAGAGAAGGAATGATCACCTTTGTGCTGGGTTGCTGGGATGGTGATACTGCAGATGACATAAGGCCACAATTCTTAGAACTACAAAGATGTTTGCAGTCTAGTGATTTTTGCTTCAGTCTGCTGCTGTTGTCACAGCATGAAGACAGCGCAATCTATCTCAGAGTGAAACTGCTATTATTCACTGTGCCATTAAATGGGGGGCGGGGAGGAAGCAAATTTATCTTGTTAGCAAGAAATAAAACTTCCTAGCAGCAGGTTTAGCCAAAGGTTTCACACTGTTCTCTGCCATTGTCCAATGCTCTTCTCTTATTGTTCTCGTTCTGTTTAATCAATCTCAACATCACAATCTGAACTTGATTAGGTAAGGGAAACTAAAACTAAACTAGAATTAAATAAGTCAATACTTACCTAGACATACTCTTAACATTATCTCCTGACTCCACCAGACTACATTAATGCTTTTTATTAAAGCCATATGGCCACAATTTGGAAATATTTAAGAATGCAGAAACCTGTGTCAACGATTGCAAAAGAAAGATAGCCATATGTATGAGAACCTTGTGAGAATTAATATTAGGAAATAGAATGGAATGAATCCAATAGTTTTTGTGTAGACACAATTATAAGTATAATGTAATTTACTACATTGGGTTAGATGCTCCACAAACCCTGCAATCCCAAGTACACTTACTACAGGGTAAGCGTCAAACTCAGTGAGAAATGTCTTTGAGTAAACATACTTATGGCTTAGTTACTTAGTTGACTTATTCCAGAAGTCTTACATTTGTGTAACATAACCTAGGTTCCCAAATCAAATTCATTTCAGCACCTTTAATAAAGGTTCTTACTCCTTTCTGTTTTCCATGTTAAAGCTATATGTGTCAACTATTTTCACTTTATATTTCTTTCTTTCCCAGAATACTTAACATGTTATTAGACGGGAATGCTGAACCTGCTACTCTTGTAAAATCCAAGTAAAGCAAATATGAACACCAGAAAAGCTAGCCACGATGAAACAACTACTGAAGACAAGGTAACTGTATGAACTCCATCTATTCTATAGCCCAGAGAGATCTACACATTAGATGCTGTTGTCAGGAATGGCTGAAGCAGTTTCAGGGTAAATGACTGAGGATTACAGGTATATTCAAACAGCCAGCCTTATGTTCTAGATTTGCTGGTTTGGTTTAGCATTCTGGTTTTACATCATTCTTGACATAAAACTAGTCAAATGCTCACAAGGAGGTTAAACATTTGGCTATCCATTTCCATATGGTGGCATGTTATTTGTGAAGATAGTGGAGAACAAGGCAATGGATCCTGTAATAAATGGAAACAAAACTCCATCTATCTTGCCACAATGCTAACCCCATCCACAAAGGGGTACAGTGGTCCCCGCAATGAATAATGTTGTTCAAGAAAAGTAAATTCAATTCAGAAATTTACTTAAGGGGCAGAACCAAAGGAATTTTGATAAAATAAACTTTTTGCTGCATGTATTCAATAGCTATATATAAAATACAGTGCAGGTCACAACTAAATGTATACAGCTGCCAACATTCAGAACACACACTGAAGATAAGGACAGATCTAAATTAAGAAAAATTAAGAGTGGGCTTTTGAACCACATTGTGAGCTGAGTTTTGCAATTTGCAAGATGAAAATGCAGCTAGGTGTTGATTAGTGGGGTAATGATTCTCATGAAGTGATCACAGTTGAATTTGTACTATTCAAAGTTATGGATACATGCAAAATATTAGTTCTAGCTTAATGAAAATTTGGAATTATTTTTTAAACATAAGTGTTTACAAATTTATTAATGAAATATTACAGTAAAGGATATAAATAATATATTTGTAATATAAATTTATTGTTAACAAAGTCACAGAGTAGTTCTAGACAGCACCATTATTATATACACCAATGAACTAGATACTTTGCACATTGATGTAGTTTTTTCATGGCATTGTAAACTGTTAACTAAAGTGACAGAGTAAAAATACAGTTGCTTTAATGACACCTTTCATATGCATGTGATAACCCATCAAAAGGATAAAACCACCCTCTTTTGTCTCTTCCTGTACCGTTCTATTTTGCTACTTCATTATCTATGATTCACAATGGTCTCCATAGCTACACACTCACAAAATGGTGGCAGATAAAGCCTTTTGCCCTATTTATTTTCTTAGGACTATGAAAAGGCTGGAGCAGGAACTTGGGTTAACAAACCATAGAGTTCAGAGACTGTTGCAGCAACACTGAAGTAGCAGCGTCTAAAACACTAACAACAACCCAGTAACCTCAATTGTGCATATACTAGCCTTGCATTAACTGATATTTGGCTCACATTAACACAATCAATTGTGCAATTGGCACTAAATCAAATATTGCATTATTTGAACTTGCATTAATTGCAACTTGGCTGTACTTACTAATGCATCAAATACTAGTTCAACTGTGTGTCAAGCTTTTTCAGAATTTAGCTTCCTGACTTTTCTTAATTTTTGTTTTTGCATATATGTTTAACCATTTATCCCCTTTTTTGGTAAATGGAACAGGTTAAGGTTGGCTTGGTGATAACTAACGTGGTGATTAACTTTTGATAATTTTTCTAATTGTTTTAACTAGGTACAGTAGGCTGCTTTCAAACTGTCCGCACCACTCTTCAAATGTTGCATTGGTTTTCAGAGAAAGTGTGTGTGTGTACACACAAGGATGTACAATGCAATATACAATACTGCCCATTTGTGAGTAGGTCCCTCTCCCATTTTCTTAGTGATGCTCACCTCTTGTACAGTGGGAATTTAGTACTTTTGGAACAAGGCCTGAAAAAAGCACAGTCATTCCTAGCATTGAGCAGATTGGCCAAGCCTCCAGTCATCACAGACCACTGCCAATATTATAGTATGTAAATATACATTCAGTGATCCAAGCGATTGCGGGTTCTAAAAAGTGTTTAAGTGTTAAGCTGATTTAAGCTTGTCCTCTCACCCACAGTATTTAGTGAAGCTTACCTGGATCATTAAGTGAAGTGTTTTCTTGCCCCTACCATATGATCATGTGAATAGGGACAGGGAAGTGTGCCATGTCTTACCTGAACACAAGTAAAAAAAGGGAAGAAATTTGATGGGCAGGTACCATTTACCATTACCGGGTAACATGTAGTTCTGCTCTAATCAAAATTGGTAAGGCTGTCCTAAATACTTATTATCCCACAAAATCCAGTAGGAATTAAGGGTACTATTATCTTATGAATGTTTAGTCAGAAAAAAGTCATGCAGTTCCCAGCATGCCCCGGCCAGTCATGCTAGATGAGATATACTGGGATTTGTGGACTTACTTATTTATTACTTATTAGTTAGAACTTATGTTCTGATAAGACATGCATTGTGCTGTTAAAATGGCAACCCTGGTCCAGTACTGCTGAAGCCTATATATAATTGCTGGTAAGTTGTATTTTCATATACGTGCATTTCCTATATTGTACTGATTTTTATGGAATGTGTATCTGTGTGTATATATATATGTTCCTTTCCTCTACAAAATGCATCACACTTCTGTTCTTATAAGAACTGAACATTTTTCTTTCTTTCTTGTGCCTTAAATGTATGTATCCTTTGGCAACACTTACTGTGTTGCGTTAAGCATTATTCTAATTGTTGATTCAACCTTGTTTTTATGCAAAGTGTTACTGTGATGTTGAGTCATACTGTTTCTTTTTTTGGCCCAGGAAAATCAGCCTTTTGAAGCACATGAAAGCACAGTGAAAACACCTCTGAAACAGACAGCTACCTCCAATCAGCTCCTGGCAGAGATCCAGCCTGCTGCTTTCGGCCATCTGACAACACCACCAAAGCCTAATGATATCTCTCCTGGAGACCCATGGACGCCAACAGCTAACCTTAAAATGCTGATCAGTGCAGCAAGTCCTGAGATTAGGAATCGAGAACAGGAAAAGAGACTGACAGACAGCAGAAGTGAAATCCCTGAGGCAAAACATTTTGTTGTTGTGTTATAAGGATTTGTGGCATACAGTATATACTTGCACGTTAACATAGCTACTTGAAAAGTACCTGGGAAAGCTGCTACTTTGCTCGTTCCAATTTCCCGTGTTAGACCTGAAGTCTGAAAAGCTGGTTATTTTTCGGATTTATAGTATATACACGGCAGACCCTGCATGGTAGCTCTATTATTTTGAGGCTTCCAGCTGTCCTAGACGTAGGCACTTAGAATTACTCATTAGTCGCTGATACTTAATCTGTCAAACCTTAATATTTTCATATAGGGCTAATTGCTGCTTTATTCTTCCTTTCTGTCTTTTTTGCAGGACCATTTTTCAGGAGATGACTATGAGAAATCCCAACCAAGTCGTAAAGAGAAAAGCCTAGGGTTGCTGTGTCACAAATTTTTAGCTCGCTATCCTAGCTATCCAAGTACTTCTAAAAACAATGAAATTTGCCTTGATGAAGTAGCTGAAGAGCTTAGTAAGTTTGAATCTGGGCTCTGGTATTTGTAGCCAGAGGAAACACAACTTGGTTCACAGTATTAAAAATGGTTAGCAATGCACTAACAGAGCTTATTACTTCAGCAGCTGTTGTTCAGCCAAAATAGTGATGGGCAAGATCAAAAACAGATGAGCAGGCTTATTAGAAGTGGTCAAATTGTGGCCTCCTCAGTTGTTTTGGCATACAGACAGCATAATCAGTAGTGAGGAGACAAGAGCGACCAAACATCTGGACGGCTGTAAGTTGCCTGTCCCTGGTTCATATAATTCTTTTTAGTTTGGTATGCATGCATTAATCTGATAATCCATACAAAAACAAACTTATGACATCAGTCAGTATTATTCTTGTATTGCAAGTATGCAGCTGAAGCTGATGGGTGGTAGCTAGAGCCAGAGTGAAGAAATCTGGTGATACATTATTGTCGGTCTGTTCTGCACTTTCCCTTCTCAAGCCATCATGGCAGCAACATGCTAAACAGATTTTGTAATAGTCCATTTACAGGCTATATTAGCACAGTCAGTGTGTCCACAAGCGACCTGCATACCCTCCAGTCTTGTCAATGTTCTGAACACTATGGCAGCGGTTTTGTTCTGTAATCCAAGGCCACAGGTTCACTGTCCTCAAGATACTGTTGGATTTCAAACTACAGTCCATCTGTAATGAGTTAGTTAAGAGTTGTAGCCTGCATTTAGAGACTGTTACTGGTCTCTAAATGGGCCAGTTCCATGACATTACAAATTACTAATACAATAATACAATATCAGCAGCCATAAGAATTTGGAGTAGGACCATGGTCGCTAGTAACCTGATGAAGCAATCCATTTTGCAAGAACCTCTGAAGGTTTCAGAGGTTAAGAAGGCATCCTCTGGAGCATTGTATTCTTAAAATTCTCTAAGTGTGACCCTCTTCAGGAATTCAACAGACTAAAAAGCAAGGTAAAAGTAACTTAAGTGGACAAATAATTTTTCATCCTTCCTCACAGATGTTGAACGCAGGCGCATCTATGACATAATGAATGTGCTAGAGAGTCTTCACATGGTGAGTCGACTTGCCAAAAACAAGTATTCTTGGCATGGACGTCATAATCTTAAAACAACACTACAACTTTTGAAAAAGGTGGCTGAGGAGAACAAGTACATGCAGCAGCTTGAGTTGATTAAAAAGCGAGAATCAGAACAAGAGCCTGTGGACGATGGTGAGAAAATGAAGCTGATGAGTGAGCATGTTGGGCTGAACCTTCATAATGACATTTCTTTTGTGGAGCTTCCTGGGATGGAGTTTCGAGCAGGTAAGTCTTTGTTAAATGGGTTAACTTGGTCAGCCTTCCCCAGTAGGGTGACCTCCAGGTGGTTTGGACTTAAAATCCACTCAGCCTAGCCAGAATTTGAAATGCTGGTAGCTGTAGCCCAAAATGCCTGAACAGCACTAAGTTGGAGAGGGTCAGATTAGATTAACCTTCCTGAAAAATAAAGCATGTACCACTTCTATTGTAACGATAGGAGAAAGTAAGCACCATCTTAAAAGGCATTTTCCTTTTTCCTTCCAGTTGTAGAAAGATTGTATCTAAGATCTTTCCCAGTATGGCACATGTGTGCATCATATTAAAAAAGGATGCATTTTAAGTTTACACGTATGCAGATATAATCAATGTAAGGATTGCTAAATTGAAATGCATAGTATTAATTAAGTGTTCTTTCATCAGTAGCAAACTTACTTAAGAAATATGTTAATATCATTACACCACATTTATATCTTGCCACTTTTCCTCTTGTGAGGAACCAAAGGTGACTTGCTTAGCTCCATTTTATATTCACAATAAAATGTGAGAGAGGTTGGGCTGGGAGTCTGTGACTGGTTCAAAGTTGCCCAGGGAAGCTTCACGACCACGTGGGGACAAGCACACTTACAGTCTTACCATCATACCACACCGACTCTCATATATTATTATTATTATTATTATTATTATTATTTAAAAGTTAATGGTTGCAGATTGACCAAGTGCTGCTTCTGGGCAGCTCAGGACAAGGTTACACAACAGTAGTTTTTGCTGGCCTGCCCACCAGATGAGTTAGGAACAATGTTTAATTCCACAGGTGTTACAGCTTGGACTAGTTTCTCCTTTTGGCTATATCAATTTCTTTCTTTCACAGCTTCAGTAAATAGTCGTAAAGACAAATCTTTAAGAGTGATGAGCCAGAAATTTGTGATGTTGTTTCTGGTATCAACCTCCCAAGTTGTGAGTCTTGAAGTTGCTGCTAAAATTTTGATCGGAGAAGATCATGTTGAGTACTTAGATAAAAGCAAGTTCAAAAGTAAGTAAGAGGGATTGGGTCTGTCTGTCATTTTTGCTTTAAATAAGATTGCTTGCTTTGTTGTGTTGTCATTTTTTTTGTAATCCATTCATACAAGAACATAAACATATGGAAAAAAGTGGCAAGCCTATTGCTAATTCAGCTTTTCTTGGCTCATATGTCTTCCCAGATGAGCTAAGCCCCTGGCTGTGTGCAGGCACATGATAAACTGTAATTTATCATAATGGGAGCTCACTGCAATGTGCTCCTGTCTCATATACTCCCCCAACTCCAATTTGTTGGCTGCCAGGAGAGGGATTTTTTTTTAATTAACTATAGTTTGTTGTTTCTTCCAGACCAGAAACTTTCTTAAACCTTAACTGTAGTTTGTTAAAATCAGCCAGCTTCACATCCCTCACATTAATCAGACACAGAACAAAGACTTCTGATCCTTCCTGGCATGGCCCCAAGGAGGAAAGAAGCAGTGAAGCACACAAGGCAGTCAGGATGAGCCATCACTTACATGACATTTGAACAAAGCACATAGCTGGCATATTGCAGACTGCAGTCAGGTGCTTATTCCTCCTTATCCCTAATCCTCTCACATGTCCAAACCCTGCAAAAAGAGCCTGATTTCTTCAATTAGTTTTCTATGATGTATAAACTCTTCCTGGTTTAGGAAGCCAGGTATCTTCACAGAAGCCAAGCATGCAAGCTTGGAAGAGAACATGCAGGTGCATAGTTTATTCCTGGTCCAGTAAATCAACATATCACAGACTTAGATGGTGACACCAAAAGCAGGTCAACATGTGAGTCTGGACTTTCTAAAGATTCATGATAGGCTTATCATGCTCTGTAACACTTCCCAGTTTGTTTTGTTCTGTAAGAAAGAGTATGTTGCCTCCATTCTCAGTTGAGAGCCAGTGTGGTTCAGTAGTTAAGAGTGCAGGACTGAGACTCAGACGACCTGGGTTCTAGTCCCTGCTCAGCCATGGAGCCACCTGGGTGACTTTGGTCCAGTCACAGACTCTCAGCCCAACCTACCTCACAGGACTGTTGTAGAGGGGATACGATTGGGATGAGTGGGAGGAGAATGATGTAAGCCACTTTGATTTCTTCATAAGAAAAAGGCAAGATATCAATCAAATAAATAATAGTATGATAGAGGTGGCTATGGGCAAAGAGGAAAGAGGCTATTTCTTTGGATTCAGTTCATGAAAATATGGTCTGTAAGGTACCTGTTCTCGGCAGAGAGTATGGCACCTTAGTTGAAATGTGATGGCAGTAAATGCCATGTTGTCATGCCCTCGTTATGGCTCAGCTTTTTGCAGCCATTTGCTCCCCTCTCTCTGTTGTTCTGGGCCATGCTCTCTTCCCAAACAGATGCAGTAATGCCAGACTCTCACCTCTCTCTGTGGCAGATAGGGTGACGTAGTGGAAAAAGAGAACTGCTGTTGGCAGTCCTGGACACTATAAAGATGCATTGCCCAGGATACTCCCTATTCTGATCAGCAAACTAGCTAAAAGTTGTCTAGATGAAAAATTATCAGGTGGATCCATGGTTTTCTACAGAATCAGACTCAGAGTCCTTCCCAATGGCACTTTTTCAAACTAAGGAAAGGTAACAAGCGGGGCATCACAGGGTTCAGTCCTGGACCAGTGCTCTTCTACATTTTTATTAATAATTTGGATGAAGAGGTGAAGCTTGGGTGGGTTAGCTAATACCCTGAAAGACAGAAACAAAATTCAAAGGGCTTTTGATAGTTTGAAGACCTGGGCTAAAAGCAACAGAATGAAACAAAAAGGACAAATGTCAAATTCTGCACCTAGAAAAAGAAACCAAATGTGTAGTGACAAGGTGGGAGATACTTGGCTCAGCAATATTGCCAATTAGATTTGTTGCAGATCACAAGCTAAATATGAGTCAACAGTGTGATGTGGCTGCAAGAAAAGGAACTGGTATTTTGGGCTGTATTAATAGAAGTATCACTTCCACCTACATAAAATGATAGTTCCCTCCTGCTCTGCACCTCTATACCTCATCTTGAGTGTTGCATCCAATTCTGGGTACCAGAATTTAAGAAACTGGAAAAGTTTCAGAGGAGGGCAACAAAGATGATGAAGGAAGTGGAAACAAAACACCATGAGAAGAGGCTGAAACAATTAGACATATTTAGCCTTGAGAACAGAAGACTGTGGGGGGATATGATAGCTCGCTTCAAGTACTTAAAAAGTTAGAGTTGAAATGTTATTACACAGAGGAGAGGCAAAATCACTTCTTGATCACCCCAGAGTACAGGACACGGATACTGGACTCAAGTTACAGGTAACCAGATTCTGCCAGAATTTCAGGAAAAACATCCTGACTGTTACATCAATATAACCAAATACCTGGGGAGCTTGTGAGCTTTTCCACACTCCTTCACATTAAAGACATGGAGAGACAGCATCTGTTGGAGATGCTTGAACTTGGAGTCCTGCACTGAGTAGGAGGTTTGGCCTGATGATCTTACTGGCCCTTTCCAACTGCTGTTCTATGATTTTATGATGGCTAACCCTGCCATACACTTTCCTTGCTCTGCAGCATTCATTTTGGCTCTGGAGAATAGCAATTCCAGCTTGCTACAGATAAATATCAAATAGAAGCTGTACTCATTCCAGTTTCCATCTAATAAAACAAGGAGTTACATGTGGTGCAGTCTTTAGGTACTAGTTGGTGTGACCTTGGGAAAGAAACAGTATCCGAATGACTACAACTTGAATTGAGAATGGCCTTCCACAGGGACATTCTTGGGATGCATGTTCTCCAGTCTTAGAAGTGCTAGTTGTCATGAACCACAGGAAAGTAATGAGATCCCAGTTCCTACAAACGAAGTAAGAACGTTTGGGGTGCCTCACCCCAATTTCACCCTTGGCAGCTCTCTGCGCAGACACTAGCGCCTCCACATTGTTTTCCTCCATGCCCTGAAAAAATGTTGAACTTTTAAAATGTTGAACTTGTCTGTGTCAAAGAGAGCAAGCCCTGTAAAGATGCACATAAGCCTGTCATGTCACGTTCGTGGCTTCCTGAAGCAGAAATGATCTAGCTGCTCTTATCTTAGGTGTTTAAAACAAAATTTGGATGGGAGGATGGAAAGACTGATCTGGACTGTCTGTCTATGTTTAATAATGATTTAGTCTCTTAACATTTCAGCTAAAATTCGGCGGCTGTATGATATTGCTAATGTTCTCAGTAGCCTTGAGCTGATCGAGAAGGTTCATGTTACAGAAGAGAAGGGCCGCAAGCCAGCATTTAAATGGACAGGACCAGCTGTTTTTTCAGATATTCAGGGTAGGTGGGTTATTGCTTCTGCACTCTAGATTAGAGTTTTAATTGTAAAGCTTTCTTCTCCTGCTTCACTTGATTCCTGCTCCTAACACTAAAAGAACCCTTTCTGTAATAATTCTATAATTATTTAGTGGTTTTTCTATGCCACCACATAACTGAAGTTGTCTTCGCTGCAGACATAAACTAGTTAAAATGCAATATAAATAATAAAGATACAATTGCACCATGGAATACATTGTAGTGGAGACTCAGAATGAACTTTAAACACATGTAAGTCTCTAAACCTTAAACCAAACTTTCAAAGTCTATAAAAAAGCTATCAAAGATTTTTTAAAAATGTATTTATTTATTAAAAGCTTTTCTAACCTATCCTGCTACAAGCATCTTGGGGTGGCTTACAAAAAATGAGTAGAATAAAACAAACACCAAGCACCCAACAATTGAAATACGAAAGCCCCAGTTAAAATCAATTAAACATTAAAATAACTGGAAAATTAAAAGGTTTTTGCTTGACGCCAAAAGGAATATAACATCAGTGCCAGGCAAACCTCTCTGGGGAGCATATTCCATAGTTGGGGTGCCACCACAGAGAAGGCCCTTCTCCAGGTACTCACCTCCTAATCTCCTTCAAGGAGGGCTCCTGGAGCAGGACCTCCACCTCAGATCTCAAGGGGTGGGAGGGCACATAGGGAAGAAGGCATTCCTTCAGGTATCCCGGACCCAAGCTGTTTAGGGCTTTATAGGTTATAACTAGCACCTTAAATTGGACCCAGGCTTCAACTGGCAGCCCATGTAACTGATAGAGAACTGGTAATATATGTGAATACTGTCTGGTCCCCGCTAACCTCCTGGCAGCTCTATTCTGAACGAAGATACCCCTCCTCCTCACATGAATCTTGAATTGAAAAAGTCTTCAACATTCACTGTTGAAAAAGATACAAAGTAGGAGCCAGGGGGACCCTTCTGAGGAGGGCATCCCACAGCTGCACTGCTTTCATAGAAGGCCTTTTCCCTCTTACCCGCCTGCTGGACCTGGCTTGGTAGGTGGCATTCGCAGAAGGGGCCTCCAAAAAGGACCTCAGAGTTCTAGTAGGAATATACGGGAGGAGGTGATCCTTTCGGTAATATGCCACAAGATATTTCGGGATTTAAATGGTAAGCAGAATTTTAAGTTGGGCGTGGAAGTGGACTGAAAATCAATGACATAAGTTATTCAAGACAACTCATCCTTGCTGGGTTCAGATGATGGAGCCATCTGCATGCAGCATCGCTTATTTTCTTTCCCAGTCATGCAAACCCAGGCTCTTCTTCTGTTTTATCTGATTGATTGAACCTGGATGTTTTGACCAGCCTGACCATTATCTTAACACAGATTAAGAGCATCCACTGTGTCTCTGGATTTGATGAAAGAGAGAACTGAGTGTCATGTTCATATCGATTGCACCTCAATCCAAAACTCTGAATTATCTTTCTGAATGGTTTCATTTAGATGTCAAACAGCATGGGGGTTAAGATGCAATTCCATGGTACTGCAACATACTGTTTCTAAAAGGTCAAGCAGAAGTCCCCCAGCACCACTTTCTGGAATTAGCCACCTATGTATAAGAAGTAGTACTGCAAAACTATGCCTCGAACCCACAGCTCTGATGGTCTACCCAGACTGAAGCCATAGTCAATTATATGAAATGTCTCTGAGTGGTTTAAGAGAATTAACAGGGTCATACTGCCCCTGTCTATCCTTTCTCCCAATTCAACAAGCCACATCTAGGTACAACAAACCAGGTCAGGCCCCTCATCTATGATGCTTTCATCAATGATAGGGATTCTATTTTGAACCACACTGGCTTTTAATAGCAATGCCAGCAACCTGGAGGACAGACTGATAGGATAATCAAGAACCTTCTGAGTGGCAGGCAAGCCAGAAGAGGGAACAGGTGCGAGATGACTAATTGCTCTAATCCTCAACTGGCTTGTCCGCCTCTAGAGTCATACCTCACCCTGCCCATAATCACTTTTAAATATCTCTTTGTCCAAACAGAGGATTAATGACTTAACATGGTCCTTCAGAAAAACAAAAAACAACTTTGTGCATGATTGATTTACAGGTCCGCAACCCATACTTACAGCTGCTATGGTTGGTGCATCTCGTCCTGTGGAAGGGAAGTTTTCCAAAGAAAATTGTTCCAAGAATCTCTTCCATGCAAGAAACAAGCAAGGCTTCACACGGCATTCATCCTTAATCAAAGTGGCTAAGAGTATGCGAAGTGATTGGAGAAAGATTCGTTCTGCTCCAAGTAGCCCCATCAAGAAAAATACAAGTATGTAGTTAAGATACAGGGCATGTTCACGAGTCATGCTAAGTGGAAAATTCAGCAAAGTATTGAAAATGTGGAAGACACTGAGAACTGTCAGTTCAGCGGTTTTGCTGCTTTTTTCCCTTTACAGTGCTTTTCCGTTGACAATTTGACAACTGACAGATCTCTGGCAACTGTGTGCAAAATGGCCTTTTCTTTTTCTTTTAGTTACACTGGCATTTTTCTTTTAGTTACACAGTTGTACATGTTCCTGGGAATTAAAACATACTAATAAAAGGGTGGTAAACCAGTGTTGATGCTCCCATGTGCCACCCGGGTATCACTGGAGGGGCTATCACTGGGAGTGGTCTGGCTTGCTGATCTTGTCTGTGAGCTTGCTACCTAATCCCCACAACCCACGATGACCTAGTTCTCCCAGATTCAGTACAAGTCACACTTGGAGAAAACCATAGTTTCTCAGGCAGCTTGTTGTAATAAAAACAACAGCAGCCTGTGGGAAGCAGTCAGGCTCTTACAACATGCCAGCCCACTGTAGTTCATTCCCACAATGAGCTGTTGCATTTCACAAAGCACATCATCAACTCTGATCCATGATTTTCTGGAGATGCTATTGAAATATCGACTAGCGGTGTGTGTGCTTTCAAGTTCCTTCCTTCTGAGCAGGCTTACTATGCTTGGCTTCTTTTGGAGACTTCATGCGGAAAGACTATAACTTATAGTAATCTTAGGGGCATGCACAGCCTTAATTTTGGATCTTTCTGCTTATGTCAAAAAGGCGTTGAAATAAAGTGCAGCAAATCTCTCCGATCGCGGAGATATTGTGTTGTCAGGGGGAGAAAATTGAGCCCTTCAAAATGAGTGCCAAATGACTGAAATCGGACCAACGATCTTAATATGAGGAATTCCACGTGGTCTTGTGGCAGTGGCTGTACAGCTGACCCAAATGCATGCATGAGGCTTGGCCATAGGCTGTTCCATATGAAAGCTACCTGTAATGAGCCCAGGAAGAAGATTCCACGAGCTATGAATCATGCAGCCATGAACTATACAAATGCTATGGTTTCAGTAAAATGCCTTCACAATTCTCTTTTCTCCAAAAGGTCACATTCCATTAAGCTGTCCAAACAAGATGGCTCAACTTGCAGCAATCTGCAAACAGCAATTAGATGAGCAGTCACGGTATGTTTATAGACGAAATGGGGTAGTGCCTTTCTGATGCACATCAGGCTCTTCACTGATACTGCTTTGTGCCATAGTTAAGGACAGTTTATCAGTTAAAATCATCACAGCTAATAACTCTAGCAGTTCCCAGTGGGACTTGGGTTACACTTCCAGTTTGCTGGACTTTTTTTTCCTGAATAAACCAAGAGCCAGTGTGGTGGAATGGTTAAGAGCGCAGGACTGGGGCTTGGGCAATCTGGGTTCTGATCTCTCCTCTGCCGTGGAGTCAACTGTGTGACTCTGGGCCAGTCACAAACTCTCCGCCCAACCTACCTCACAGGTTGTTGTAGTGAGGATACAATTGGGAGCAGCAGCAGGAGGAGAATGGTGCAAACTGCTTTGAATTCTTTAAAAGAAAAAGGGGATATTAATTTAATAAATAAAGCAGAGTCAGTTCTGCTTGTCTTGGAGTTTTGGGTGGAAATATTCTAACACTGAATGTCTTTCCCTAGGAAAATAAAAAATAGAAATGTGAAACTGGACATTCCATGTGCTTCAGCTTTGCCTCTTGAACCCTGTTTGAAAGCCAGACCATTCCTGTTGCCTTCTCAGGCTGAGATGCTACCTCTGATGACCTCCTCAATGTCTCCAGCAGCAGTATCCCCTATCCATTCTAGTATGCCCTATGCAGTGTATTTGCATCCTTCCCAAACACAGATAGTGACTGCATGCAACCCAGGCCTTGCAATACAGCCCGTTCCCTCTGCTAGTGCAATTAGAAAGGCGTCTCCAGTAGCGGCGAGGTCACAAGCAGTCCCTGCTCAGGTGCTTACTGAGGACGATGGCAGCAGGTTAGAAAGAAATGATGCTACTGCTCAAGACCAGAACCTCTGTCTGGCTAAGGAGCAGCAGGAGGGTACAAAAGATGCTTTGGTGCCTGAGAAATGTTTTAAGAGGTGTAATGCATTACTGGAGGAGAGCCCAACTAAAAAATGTAAGAGCGAAGAGGTGGAGCTTCAAGATGTGCTTCTGGTAAGCAGTATTAAACTGTGTACTTCTGAGCCGCGTGTGGTGTGGTGGTTAAGAGTGCAGGACGGGGCAATCTGGGTTCTTGTCTCTGCTCAGCCATGGAACTAAGTGGGTGACTTTGGGCCAGTCACATACTCTCAGCCCAACCTACCTCACAGGGTTGTTGTGGGATAAGAGTGAGAAGAAGAACTAGATTAAATTGTGGTAGTCCACTTAGCACATGGGTAACCCATCACCCTTCACTCTCAGTCTGCCATTCAAAGTAGGCAGGCAAGAAAAATAATTATTGATCAGAGTCTTAGAGGCACCTTCAGTTCCTTGCAAGGAGAAAAGGTGGGATATAAATATTTTAAATAGTACAACATTATTGCTATTGCATGGTTTTGTAGACTTTGTGGGGAAGACTTATTTGTGATGGATCCAAATATTTGGAGGGCATTCCACTGGATACTATACCTATCTTCTTCTTGAGTATAAGCATTTTTCAAGGGGACAGTTTTTCCCAAAGGTCCTGGAATATTTGGACAACAACAGCCAGTTTTCAGTCAAAGATGCTGACTCTTTTATCCATAAAGAATTTTGGGAATGAGCTGCCTCTTCATGCTTTGACTTGCCCTTGCTGGGAGTGCATTAGGGCAGAAAGAGGTAGTTCACCTACCCAGTTCCAACATGGAAGCTAGCTTTGGGAGGAGAGGTTGGAATTGTGGGGGTACCCATGAAGTGCAGAGTGTAACATTCTTGGTATGTAGCTCTATGCTTTGATACAACAAGTCACTTCCACTGGATTGGAAGCACAAATGCAGATATTTGCAGTAAAATTATTAATGGCTGAAACTCTGTTTCAGAAGACAAAGGATTACCCTTCGCCCAAGCTAAGGAGAAAATCAAGAAGACAGTTCAGTGTTCAAGGAAAGAACATAGAACTGTACTGGAAGAAAACTGTGTTTCAGTGTCTCTTGTACTAACATCTGTTAGTACCATCCTATTCTGTAGCCATACTGAGACGTTCTGTAGGGGACGGGATAGAAAAGCTTTTAATAATTAAATAAATATTAAATAGCATCTCCCTCTGTATGGAAAGCAGATCTGTAAGGGAGAAAGCATATGAAGTATTACTTATCTGAAGGGGTGAATACCTATATATATTCAGAGTAGACATGTAACGTCTCTCTAAGCTAGCCTTTTGTAATTTTTTTTTTCATTTGTTTTCTAGGGAGAACATGTTATGAGTAAAAAAGCCCAATCTTCCCTAACTTTCCATCTGGGCCAAGAAGACTTAACTTCACCGACAAGACAACAATCGGAAAAAATGGATCAGCACTTGGAATATCAACCTGAGCAACAGAAGCAGGAAGATGTTTTGAAATATGATAAAATTGCCATCGCACAGGGGATACCTGCAGCTTTTGTCGCTCATAAGCTTAAGGTATACTTCTCTGCAAGCATTTTGCTCTGATTTGCTCCTTGGATTTCTTAAAATTGTCTAAGGACCAGGTATTAGTACATGCTTTGTTCTGATCCAGGTTACCAAAGTATTTTAGATATTCACTTTGTAAGGCAAATGTAGAATATACAGTACCTGCCTGTATCCCGTGGATACACCTCCCTGCTGTTCTTATTTTTGTTGTGATATTGTAGGTTTTTTGGTCTAATCTTCTATCCTGTATTGCCTGCAGACTCTGGTTGCTTTTCTGGACAGCAGTTCTGCCCTGGCCCAAGTAATGTGCAATCAGTGGGCAGGGTTGCAGAATACAGCGGTGGATGTGTAGTGCAGTTCAACAAAATAGTGTAATGGGAAGTGTCCTAAATCTAAATTATCACCCAAGTGTAAGATTCTAGGATTCCAAAGAACAATTTGGCTTAATATTCTGTGTGATTACAAGCACAGAGACAGGACTACATCATTCTTCGAAGTAGAATATGATGTGATGTTTATCTCTACCCCACCAATTTATTCTTCCATCTTGATTATTTACTGTCTGGTTTTGCACTATCTGGTGTATATGAGGGCTTCATCCTTTGATGTGGCCACAGAAAAAGCAAAAATTTAGAAGTGTGACGTAATTTGAATATGAGACGAACTCTGAATTGCTGTTGATGTATCATTTTATGCAACTGTAATGTCCATGAATACTAAAGCTAAGAATTGCTTGTAATGTCAGTTACATATTGGCTTTCCATAGGTATCTAACACAACTGCCATATTCTCTTTTGATTCTGGATGCCTGGCTGTCCTTGTTCTCTGTTGCGGCATTAATTAAAGTCTTGATTCACTAATGAAGAGCAGGCCAGAGACTATAGGAAATCTTGAATAAGAAAAATGGTTGGATCTCTCAATTTCTTTTTATTTGTTTAAAAGAAACTCCAGGAGTCCTAAATCAGGATGGTGGTATTCTTATCCCTCTTTTTCAAAGCTGTGAAGTGGGGACCTACCTTCTCTCTCCCCATCTCATGGTAACTGCAGCTTGGAAAACCTAGAAAATGGCAAGGAAAGTTATATTCCCCTTCCCTAGTGCCACAGCACTTTCCCCCAGCCCAAGCAACTGCTTTTAAGTGTAGAATATAATAGAAGAGGATCATACCATTGGAAGGGGTCTGGAAGGCCACTGGGTCCAACCCACTGCTCAATGCAGGACTCAAGTCTCCCATCCAAATACTAACCAGGCCTGACCCTACTTAGCTTCCAAGATTAAGCAGGATCAGACACTTCACATTGGAAGCTCCAGTCATGGTTCTGCCATGCTACATTTAGCTTAGTCCTTTGTTGTATACGAGACTGAAAAATCATCCTAGGTCCATGTTATCTGTAAGGTGTGTTTATTATTTCTGTGGATGTAAATATGATATTCTTCCTTTTTTTCAGACTTGGTTTCCTTCAGCTTTCCTTATACCTCTTCCTCAGTGCACCAGGTTTGTCAGCGGGACCACCCTCTCGAACCAGGAAAAAGCTGAGGTCCCCCCAGCAGAACAGGAATCCTGCGGCTCTTCTGTTGTTGGTGTGTGTTCATGGACAATGTCACTGGTATTATTCCTGAATTAGTGGCTACTGACGCCTCCTGTCAGCTGATAATGATGCAGGGCTTGAGGTCAGAAAGTGCATCCGCTATAAATCTGAGAACTTGCCAGTACTTAAGGTGACATAAACCTATGGTACCTTTATTCTTGCTATCTGTGTCCTTGTCTAGCTTTCGTAATGGAAGCTTGTCTAGGAAGATGGAGTTAATCAGTTCTGGCAGAGCTGCTGGTAACCTCCAACTTTTCTGTACTTTAGTGCTACATCTCAAATGTCTTTTATATATCTCTATAGGCCCACAATTAGAGTAAATCTTCAGATAAAACCCCGTTTGCATGCTTTTAGAAGTTGTGTTGAGTCAATCTGAGTCAATATTTGCTCTTATGAAATCAGCTGCTCCTTGATGCTTAATTACCTAAAGCTAAATTGCCATAAGCAAACTTTTGATGTTTGGCTTCCTTCTCTCCATGCACAGGAGGCATTGCGGGCTACCCGATGACGAAGAACTATTGTCCTTAGTAATTAGTCTTTCTCTTTCTTATCATAGGTGGCATTCCAGCAACATCTGACTTAACAGCAGTTAATGTCCCTGCTCTTCATATAGCACCTCTCAGCCTGATGCTGCCACCTTCGGCTGTAGCTGCCCTACCTGTGTTGGATAGCACTGCTCTTGCTTCAGCCCATGCTAGTCCTGTCCAAGTTCCCGACTCTTCCATGCTGAACTTTACGTTACAACATTTAGGACTGATCCCAACCAGCATAAAGGTGTCTGCAGATCAGGGACTTGGACCTGCCCTGATTTTTCCAGGAGCAGAATGTGTTACTTCTGTCCCCAGAAGTGAAGGCTTGAAACAAGGGAAAACATTACAGAATATCTTACCAGCACGCAGCCATGATTGCAGTGGAAAAACAGTTCCAACTGCTCCTTTGCAGCAGGTAAGAGAGCTTTTTTAAGATTAATGAGCTAATTCATATCATTGCCACAGCGCTCCCTTGTTTGTGCTGCCATGCATAGTTGGCAGCCTCCCATGATCTGGTTTATGCACTGCTTTATTTCAGATTGATTGAATCCCCTTATAGCCATGAACTCCTGCACATGCAAAACTAGCCCTTCTGTCCTAGGACAATGAGATGCTATTACGGTATGTGCAGAGGGTTTGGGTGCTGAAGTAGGTACAGACCAGCAGGGCCACTGATCAAGTGTTTTGCATCTTAGAGTGTAGGCAAGTTCACATGCCATCCATTGTAAAAAAAAAAAAAAGAAGAAGAAGTCCAAACTCTGATTGGTATTTCAGCACGGTACATTTGCTTTTTAGAAACCACAAGCAGAAACAACAGTCAGTTCTACATTTCTTGGTACCATCACAGCTTGTTGCATCCTCCAAACATGAAAAACACTACTCGTGGTGGTACCAAGGCCAAGCAGATAGTCTAAGAGTGACACTAACAGTTGCTGATTTGCACAGCTGTCAGAGGTGTTCTCCCCTCCACCTGCATCCTGCCTCAAAAGTCTTTTTAGGGGCAGGAGTAGGCAATCAGCTGCTTGGTGCTGGGAAAGGACCAAAGTGCGCACTGGGTTGGGCTGAACCCAAGAATGGAGATCAGCCAGAGATCACCTAAGGTTCATAGCTTCCAGCTGATTCTCATCTCTCCCACTCATACCTAAGGAGGACAGCAAAATGGGCATCCGCTAAGCTCCACTGTTCCTTTCCACAGTGCCGCCCAGCTGATTTTCCACTCTTTTGTCTAGCTGTGGATCAGACACCCCACTCCAGGAGTTCCCTCTAGAACAGGAAGAGAGGGTGCCTGAACAGTTCCCTCATCTTCTCTGCTGCACTTCAGAGCATGAGCCCTGTTTGCACAGCAGGGAGTGCCCATCAGCTGCAGCAAGCGGATTTGGCTTGCAGTGGCAGCTGTCCAGTAGAGAACCCTGATTTCTCCCTTTGGTGCCTGCTGGATCTCTCCTGGAGGACTGAGGGGGAAGGATATTGCAGGAGGGAGGAGAGTGACCAGCATGAGCCTGATCATCTGTCAGGCATGCTGAGGTCAAACAAACAAACCGTGGTCACCTTGAGGGGTTGTATGTCATGACATGTGCACCCAGCCTCTGGTATTCCTTCCTCTGAAAGATTCTCTCTGACTACAGCTGTATCGGAAACATGGAATTACTAGGTTAGGGCGACATTGCAAGAAGCCCACTGAAGACTATTTCTACTGTCATGACAATTTACTTGTAATTCTGGAATAGAAATGATGGCAGGCTGGATACATCCCATGCCTCTTGCACTGCTTATTAAGCAACAGAGTAACATTTCTGCTGTGACTTGAGTCATGGATACACAATTTTGATGGCATCAGGAATGACAGCAGATGCTCCAGGGATTCCCATAAAAAGGGTATGAGAAGAGAGCTTAAGATACAGATCTAATGAACAGAGGAAGTGAGTCATAAGTGGTAATAAAGTCGAATAGTGTATTTGCATCCTCATACACCAGCTGTTTGCAGTAATTTAGTCTTAAAAGGATTAACACACTTTATTTGAAGAGGTTTTTCCTCTGCTGATAGGAAAACATCAGAACTTAAAATCTGAGAAGTGATTCCTTGCGGCATTGCCAAATCGGATATGTTACTTGGAGCTCTTTAGCCAACAAAAGCAGATCTTCACTGTAACCTTGAAAGCACTTTGAGATATTTTGTTTCTGCTTTCAGGGGAGGTGAAGAGGCCACTGAATAGCAAAACACTCTTTGAAAGCTTGATGTATTTAGCCTATTTTGGTTAGAATTACGCTGGTCAAATGATGGTAATTTTAATAGTATCGCAAATTGGACTGAACTTTATTCTATGTAATATTTTCTAAAATCCAGGTCCTTGTAAAAGGGGTTTCTTGAGTATCTGGGGATATTATTATTATTATTATAACATTTCTATGCCGCCCCTTGCCGAAGCCTCGGGGCGGCTTACAACACAATAAAATACATTGAAATACAATAGAACATAATAAATTACCATTAAATACAAAAATACAAAAAATACACTGAGTTACAAACATAATAATATAAAATTAAAATTATCAGTATAAAATAAGTAAATAAATAATATAGGAGGAGAAAAGAGAAGGAAGAAGAAGTTGCCCTGGCCAGATCATATGTTTTAACAATTAAAATGATGTTTAAATAAAAAGGACTTTACCTGGCTCCGAAAAACCAGTAACGACGGTGCCAGGCGGACCTCTTTGGGGAGTGAATTCCATAGGTTGGGTGCCACCACAGAGAAAGCCCTCCTCCGAGTACTTACTCTCCTAATTTCTTTCATGGAGGGTTCCCGGAGAAGGGACTCTCCCGCAGATCTCAAAGGGCGGTCGGGCATATACGGACATAAGCGCTCGTTCAGGTAGCCAGGACCCAAGCCGTTTAGGGCTTTATAGGTCATAACCAACACCTTGAATTGGGCCCGGGCTTCAATGGGAAGCCAGTGAAGCTGACAGAGGACTGGAGTCATGTGAGCATAACGCCCCGTCCCCGTCAGCAACCTGGCAGCTCTATTTTGCACCAATTGAAGTGTTCGGACCGTCTTCAGGGGAAGCCCCACGTAAAGCGCGTTACAGAAGTCTAGGCGGGAAGTCACCAGCGCGTGTGTCACCGTCGCCAGGCAGTCGTACTCCAGGTAGGGGCGCAGCTGATTAATCAGCCGAAGCTGAAGGAAGGTGCTCCTCGCCACCGCTGTCACCTGAGCTTCCAAAGAAAGCTCCGGGTCGAGGAGTACTCCTAAGCTGCGGACCTTATCTGGGGGTGGGGGGTTGACAGAGGCATACGCAGGGTTGCTATCAAAACTTGCTGCTCCAAGATAGGAGGGCTGGCTCACACTTTTCCAAAGCATGGAGGGAAAAATAACTGTGAAGGGGCAGGTCTCCAAAAATCCCCTTAAGGATCTCACCACAAAGAAAGTTATCTAGCAGCTATCCCTTTTTCACTAGGCAAGATTATTTAGAGCTATCATTTCTCTTGACAGGTTGATTTCTGACCATGGTCAGGTTAATAATAATAAAGATGATGATGATAATGATACTGCTGTTTGCAGCTTCTCTGGGTCAGTGCCTATGGTGGGAGCCTGCTGCACCTTAACAGTGCGGTGCGTGCACACACACACACACACACACACACACACACTAGACACTGTCAAGATGAAACTTACCATTTCAGATCTACATAAGTGTACACATGCACACTTACTGCATATCTGACCCAATTTTTTTTAAGTTCAAAAAATGTTGCACATATTTCTTGTGCCAAAAAAGCAGAGGAATGAAGAGGACAACTAGTGGCAGCCCCTCATTCATTCATTCATTCATTCAATTTATATCCTGTCTTTTTCCTACAAAGGGCTCAAGGCAGCTTACATCTCCTCCTCCATCTTATCCCCACAACAACAACCCTGTGAGGTAGGTTGGTCTGAGAGTCTGTGACTGGCCCAAAGTCACCCAGTTGGCTCCATGGTTGAGTGGGGACTCGAACCCAGATCCTCTGAGTCCCAGTCCCATGCTCTTAACCACTACACCACACTGGTTTGTGATCACGGTGGCTAGCAGAGACAGTGGGTGCTTGCATGCGTTTTGCAGGAGGCTCGTATGTGGTTTATCGCTTTAATGGTAAATAGCAACACTTAAACTGGGCCTGAAAATGCCCTGGTAACGAATGCAACTGGTACAATATGGCTGTCCCAAGAAGCATCCAGACAGTTGCCTTCTGAATCAATGCAAATTTCAGAACAGTCTTGGATGCAGCTTATCTAGCCCCATGTTAGAGTAGCGTATAAATAGGTTTCACTTGTGCATGGGTGACTGAGGCCTGCTCCACTCTTACTGGATAGTATCAAACCTGATAAAAGGCAGTCTTAGGCATCACTGCCACCTGTGCTTCAGTATATAGTATTGAGTCTTGAGCTGTGAACAGAGTCCCTCAGGGAGAATGTAACCAAGACATGTTTTGGCCTTCTTTCTAGACTGGTTGATGTCCCTGCTCACAACAGTTCCATAGCCTCCCTGAGATCAGGGGGTGGCAAGAGGTAGAGTTGTGTATTGTTCACTTGTATGGATTCACAATAATAACAATAATAATAACAACAATAATACTAATAGTCCAACTAGATGTGCTCCTTCTGCCTGTTTAATATTAAAACATTTATGGTATTTTAATCTGACTACTTGCATATAACTTTGGTTTTCCCATCCATCCAGACCACCGTTCCTGTGCCATCCAGTGATTCTGAAGATTGCAATGAAAATGTTTTCCAAACATCATCTGAGTTGCCCCCACATCCTGGTCTTTATTCAGTCTCTTGTGAATCAGCTGAAATTTCCCAAGGAAAATTAGGTATTATACAAGGAGAGCATGATATGTCAACGTAAGCTTGACTTGGAATAAAATTTTGTTGAACTCTCCTTTTAATAGATATAATGCCACGACTTTATTTCTGGTATTATAATGTGCACTCTGGAAATGATCTTTGATCATAAGGATAATTTCTTCATGCTGGAACACTTGTTTAAAATAATTCTTCTATTCAACGTTAGCGCTTCAAAAAAGTAGCACAGACATGCATCAACTTCTGTATTTTTTAAACAAATAAAGAAGTGATTTAGAAAAATTCTTTTAAATTACTAACTTCATAGTTGTGTGAAAAATGAATTCTCTTTTTTGCTATTTGTATAGAAATGTAATAAATAGGTAATCATACATTGCCAGTCCCAAATATGTAATATATTGTATTTTAAACTATAAAGGCTTGAGTTATTTTAGCTTAAATAACATTTTAAGTTCTGTGTTTTGATTAATGTGGTTGTAAAGTTAAAAAACCTTAATCATGTCTATGTAAATCTAAAGTTTATTTAAGGAGAAGTAATCAATTGCTTCAAATCAAAATTTGAGTCTTACGTTTTCTAATTATCATACATGGGATTGTTCTTGGCACTGAAAGAGAATGTGGGCAGAAGTATTTGCAGAAGCAGCACATAAAAGAAAATTCTATATGACATCAGAAAGGTACATAAAAGGTCACATAGTTCATTTTCAAGAAAGGAAGAAGGAGCCTCTCTACAGGCACTGGGACAAGAACAGCAGTCTCTCTTCCAACATATAGGAAGGTTTCTGGATGGGATTAAATGGACATCCTCACAGGTATCCAGTTGTCCCCTGAGAACTTGTTTCAATAACTTCCATTTGATGAAAGTCAGAAGAATGTAAAGAATTACGTAAGCTACTGACTTGCCATTTCAGATACTGCCCAAATTACTCTGAAGTGCATTCTTCAATCAGTTCCTGGAAACTTCACCAAATATCTAGATTTATGGCCAGGATTGGAAAGTCGCAATCCTATCCTGATTTGTACCCAGTTTTAATCGCTTGCGGTGTATGAAATAACTTATTTTCCCTTTGTGACTTACTGCACCTACAAATAACTAGATTTTCAGACTTTTTTGTCCAATGTCTCCAAATATGTTGTTGCTCTATTTCCTGAAAGCCCTTGCATTTTTTTATTGCTTTCTACTCTATATACCTCCTTCTAGCCCCTGTAATTTATTTCTAGGAAGTTTTTAATTGGTAATGACTTGGGAAAATGTGACAAGAATTTGTTTGGTGTTGTTTTTAAAAATGCATGATTTCCTGTTTTCCATTACGGGGCTGTGAGGTTAAGTCCTTCTAGCCATGATCCTGAATCAATAAGAACTTTGCTAGAAGCTACTATTGCGTCTTGTCTTTTGAATTTCTTGGAGGTTGCCTGGTTCCTCTTCACATTACAGACATTTATATTTTTTTTTTTCTATTTGTATCTTTTAATGCCTTCCAGGCTTACTGTATTTCTTCAGTCTGATTCAAGCATGACCTGATTACCTGATTCGGTTGTCTGCCTTGTGAAGCTCTCTTTGATCTTGGAGTCTGACTTTACTTTTTGATGCGCTGCTCTCAAACATCTGAATGGCACTTGTATTCCCTGCACATTCAGCTCACTGAAATAACTGCACTGTTCTATTCCAGTTATTAATTATTTTTTTACTGCAATGATTTTCTTGATAATACAGTAAGGGAAGGGGACCCTTTTTGGACTGTGGGTATTTTGAGAAATTTTCTGGGTACCACCACAAAATGGCTGCCATGGGAAGCATGGCCCAAAAGAGGTGCAGGCTGAGTCCCAATGCAATAAATAATTAATCTGAACTCAGTTTTCAGCATCAAAAGAAACATTTCACTGCAATGCTTGATGTCAGCAAAAATGTGATCTGAGTTTGTTTGTTCATTTGTTTTAGTATTGGAAGTCCCCCATTCTTTGTCATGATCTCTGTGTGTGCACAGTGCCTGTATTCGGGAAGATTCTCTCTGCTAGTAACATTTTTGGTGGGAACTGCGCTCCCCCACCCCCTCATATAAATGGGCAGAGTCCCCATCCCATCCCCAGTCTGCTTTCAACTGCTGTTCACTGTGCCTTGGGTTCTCTCATTACTTTTGATTTTCTTCGCAAAGTTCTTCCTTACCTAATCTTTAAAACTTTAAACCTTCTTTTAAATCCTCCTTCCACAACCTCAAACCTCCCACAACCTCAAAATCCTCCTTCCCAAACCCTTCCCTTTCCCCCCTTCCCCTCACATATTTCCACCCCAATTTTGTTTAAAAAGCTGTCCTTTTCTTTCAGCCCTATACCATGTTACTCTCCCTTAATGGCACAGTGTTCTGCTTTTAGAAGGTGTGCCCAGCTCAGAGCGAAAATGCTGCCTACAGACACGCATTCGCTCTGCCCACTCTGTCTGGGTGAACGACATCACATGGACAAATACGTCCATTGTTGAGCCTTCAACAAACAGGCTTGCAAGAGCTGTGAAAACCTCAAGAAAGAGCTCTGGGATAGAGCCTTGATCACAATGAGAAAGGCTATCGTATCTGCAGGCCCTTCAGCAGCTGAAAGAAGTGCCCCTTCTCGGGCTGAACATGGTGAGAGCTCTAAATCCGTTAGAGTGCTCAGGACAGTCTTAATCTAAAAAGCCCAAGGAAAGAAAGCACCTTGAGACCGAAGGGACCGCTAAAGAAAGGTGTCCAGAAAGGAGAAGCCAGACAAGAAAAAGAAACGGCATTCTCATTCGGTACAGACGGAAGTTCCATACCTACCTGGTGTGCATTTTGAAAAACTTGTGGATACCACCACAAAATGACTGCCATGGGAAGCATGGCTCAAAAGACTTAGTACAAGCCAGAGGTGCAGGATGAGTCCCAATGCAATAAATAATTCATCTGAACTCAGTTTTCAGCATCAAACAAAACATTTCACTGCAACCCTTGATGTCAGCAAAAATGTGATCTGTGTTTGTTTGTTCGTTTGTTTTAGTATAGGAAGTCCCCAATCTTAGGGAACACCCAAGGTAGAAGTTTTGGGGCATGTAGAATATAAACTTTATGTGCTCAAAGCTTAAACAGGCTTAATGTGCCTGTTTTCATTCTGGAGAAATAGCAGTTTTGGGACTCTAAACTGGAATGCATCCTTGCTGCTTTTATTTACTATTATTTATAGTTGCAATGCCACTTCTCCCATTGGCACATCAAGGCCAGGTTGTAGGCAGGAAAAATTGTTTTTGTCTGAAGTATCTGTAGCTTCTCATTCACATGATATATCATTGCCAAGATATGCTGTCTTTGAAGGCAAAGTCACTCTGTATATCAGATGAAAGTAAGAACATTTCAAAAGGTCTGTTGTAAACCACAAGGAACTTTAGCTCTTAAAAGGTGCTTTGTTATCCACATGAAGATTGTTTCTGTTCTAAAAGCCAAGCATCTTGTCTGGATTAAAACTTGTATAAGCCATATAGACTTCTATTCTCCTATACTTTGAGAATAGATTCCATTGAACTCAGCAAGACTTACTATTTATTTATTATATTTATATCCTGCCTTTTTTCCTTCCAGGGAGCAAAAGGCAGCTTACATAATTCTCCTCTCAATCCTCACAGCAACAACCCTGTGAAGGAGGTTAGGCTGAGAGTCTGTACCTGACCTGGATCTCCTGAGTCCCAGTCATGAACTTCTGAGTAGACATGCATGCAATTGCATTGTTAGAAAAGGTTCTTTACAGGGTATGAACATAACATTCTCTCTCACTCTTCCACAGGATAGTTCTTAAAATCTAGAAGGTGGTTTGTAGTGCACCTGGAGGTCACCTAGTGTTCTGTTCAATGCCCCATGAAATTCTTACATCAGCTTTGAACAACCAAGAAGGATGGCTCTTATTTGACACCTGCTGGGCCCAATTCTGCCTGAAACTGCTCAGGGCTGCGAGCTTTCTGAAAAGGCCGGATCAGTGGTGTAATGGGGTTGGGGTTTGCAAAGATGCATCACTGGCTGACATTAGGGATGCTGACATCTCCACAACTCTCAGAATGGCCTGTTCTCGCTTGGCAGTTCTTGCAGTAACTGTAGGGACCAGGTGGTGGAGAGAGTAATTTTCTGAGCAACAGTGGTGGTGTTTGGGATGACATGATCCTGAATGGACTATTAGGGCTTCTTAGCTTTATGAAGGGGCTTGATGGCTTGCTTGATGGCAATGAAAGCTGCTAGAACATATGCATCTACACAACTTCCTGATCTTGTAGAGTGTGGTTTGGGATCTCACTATGGGGTTAGTCAAGGTGAGCAGCTGCCCTTAAAAATGTACCACTAGAGTACTGAGCCTGATAGGAGGTTTGGGTTGCTGGTAGGGACTGTATCACTAGACCTGGTCTTCACCCAGAACTGTTCTCATTGTTTCTGGGTCCCAGGTGTGGTGGGGAGGTGACATTCAGCTAGGATGGGGCCCTGAGAAGGAGCAGTGGTGTTCCCAGTATTGGATTCCCCTTTAGTTGGGTGCTTTCTGTAGAAGGGCTTTCATGGGGGAAAGGAATCTCCACTGTCCCCACCTGTGTGAGGAGCCATCACTGAATCCTGCATCACTGAATCTTCAGAGCAAGTCCAACAAGGCTGAGGTGTGAGCTCTGATGCATCCTCCTAACATCTGGACTAACTTGACCAAGTAGACACTGAAGCATTTTGTCATCTGACAAATGTCATCTATTAACTCTTAAGTATTGGGAGCAAGGGCTGATTGTAGTAACCAAATCAAGTGCCCTTCTTACTTAGACAATTCTCAGGGGTGAGGGATATCGGGCAATCTCCAATCAAAACAATCCAAAAATGTCATCTTGCAGGGTGACATGGTGCATTCCACTACAGGGTTTGTACTGTTCTCTCAGTTCAACCAGCAGCATTGTGATAAAAGCAATGGATAACGCTGCAGGGTCGTTGTAAGATACTCTCAGTTTCAGCCTGACCTGCAGTGATACTGTTCTTGAGTCGTCTTGTTCAGTGTGAACTCTGTGGCAGAGCCCTGAGCAGCTACTCTCTTCCAGTCACAGCCTCCTGTAACCTGCAGCTTCCAATTTTCTCTGGTGATAGTTACAGACACTGACTCAATGGCAACCATGAAATGTCCTCTCCAGACGCAGATGATTCTCTGCCATCTTCTTATATTAATGTTTCTTCCTCTGCCTTCTTGTTAACCGCTCCTCTCCTGCCCACAGTTTTGTCTGTTCTTTGTTCCTAATCCAGCCTTCCTTATGATATGTTTTACATTCAAATTGAACAGATGAGGAGATAGAATGAATCTTTGTCTGACACCATTGCCTGCAGGAAACCATTCTGTTTCTGGCCCTAACAGTAGCATCTTGTCTATGACACAGGCTTTGCAGCAGGACAATCAAGTGCTGAGGCACATCCATTTATTTCAGAGCCCATTGATACTTCCTTGTGATCCACACAGCCAAAGCCCTTGCTGTCGCCCATAAAGCATAGTTTGATCATCTGAAATTCTTTGGTGTACTCCAGTAGCATATATTTGCAATATGATTTTGAATGCCTTTTGCTTTTTAAAATCCAGTGTGAACATTAGTCATTTCTTGCTCCATAAAGGGTAAACTATTGGTAAACATTTTGCTTGCATGGGAAATTAGTGTACTCCTTAGCATCTCCTTTCTTATAGACTGGAATGTATATTTCCATTGTTTTGTTTTCCATATTTGTTGGCATGTTCTTGTTAGTATTTGGACCAATTCAGGATCTGCATCTTGGAATAGTTCTAGTGATATCCTAGCTACTTTGGATGCTTTTTTCCTTCCATGTGCTTTCAGAACAGCGTTTACTTCTCTTGCTAACATTGCAGGCTCTTCCTCATAGGATTCCTCTTCAAAGGGGCATGTCATCCTTTTCTCTCTTCTGCATAGTTCTTCCTTAATTGTGTCCACCTTCTCTTTATTTTATCCTGGCCAGATAGTGCGTTGGTCTTTCAGCATTCCTAATCTCATTGCAGCATCCATTAAACTGGTTTCCGAGTTGGATGGGGTAGATGAGGCCTTGACTCAACAAAAGGAGTGATGAGCAAGGCCAAAAGATGAGGAACTGGCCAAACGATTGTGGTTTCAATTTGGTTTTTGTTTCCAAGAATTGTGTTCACAGCTTTTTTTTCTTGGGGGCGGGGGGGTGTGCGATGTTCTTTGACTGCCGTCTTATCCTTATGAACAGCTGTTTAGCCTGGCTGTTGGCTCCTATGCCATCATCTTTTACACAGCCGATCAGCATGTCCTTAGCTATCTTTAATTTTATTTTTAAAGGTTTGATCATACTTTACGTCGAACCTAGCTCATTCCATGTGACATGTTGATTTATTTAATTCCTTCATATCTAGGCAACTGCATTTGGAAGGACCATCTGAGTGTAATCTGAAGGCCCTGCATTGTTCTACAACTTGCTCATAACTGGTACTCAATCAGAAGGCTTTGTCATGAACTATTTTAAGCCACCTGATAGCAGTAACATGGCTCATGTGCTCCTTCTATGCCCCACACACACACACACACCACACTCTTTCCCCCTTGCCCTTTTCTATCCGATCCTGGAAACTACTTGGCAGTATTTAAAGACTCCTGGGTACTGGCCTGGACTCTTCAAAAAGATACAGGAAGCAAGAACATACAAACCACGTTATTTTGGTAGGTATTGATAATAGAATGTCAAAAGTTGGCATACTGTGGGTTTCTTTTCAGAAAAAAGATGTGTTTCTATAATTCACTGTATTTACCACTCAAGATGGTACAGATTGTAAAGTACAGTCCGTATTTTAACTACCTGAAAGTATGCTGTGTGTGAGAAGGCTGCTGACAGACTGATTACTAACAATATTTTGTTAACTGGGTACTTCCAAACAGATGTTTTTTCTGTGTATTTTTTTCTATCTGCCTTAAAACTTGTTCAAGGCAGTTGTTCAGCAATTTTAGCATGACTTTGTGTATAACTATTGCTGGAAACAATATTGATTTCCAAAAGTTCTAAGCAATATTTTAAAACAGCAAAGCAAAAACAATTATGCTTGGAAAAGTAACTTATATACTATCAGTGATGATCTTTGATGGTAAATATGCTATTTGCTGTTCTTGATACAGATGATGCTTTCAGATGGTATTAATTTTAAATGAGGAATCAAACCGTCAGTCAAACATAGAATGCAGACCTGTTTATTGGTTCATGAACTATTTAATTGTTTTCTTAGGTTGGCTGTGAACAGAACCATACATGTAACATAACTCATAAGAAAAACCAGTTCATCAAAAACAGCATTTCCATATGTTCTCTAGCCAAATTTTTTGAATGAAAATATATGTGCATTTTTATTGATCATAATGGATATGTGTGGAAATAGAATGTTATTTGGGGGAATGCTGGAATTCTTTTTCTGTCTAAATATTATGCATATGATTGTGCACTAAATCCATATATGCTTCAGGATCAGAATCACAGGTGTTTGTGTCATCACCTGTATTCAGCAAATGCCTGCATGTCTGCCATTTCAGCTACCTTGGTCAAATCTGGATGCCTATGTTCTTTCAGTCCTTCGTGGAGCAGGACTTACAGCACAGTATAAAGCTTGCTTACTTGGAAGTAATTGCTATTGTAACTCACAGGTAGAGCAGCTACTTTGCACAGAGAAGTTTCCACAGTCAGTCCCCTCCTGGCTTTTCCATGCAGGGCTTGAAAAGGATCCTGCCGGAAATCCTGGATGGTCACTGCCAGTCACACTGGGCTTGACAGACAAAAGGTCTGACTTGTGTTCCGAAGCATTTGTTGAATGTGTGTCTTAATAAGTGTGTTTAGAACTGCAGTCTAAAATTCTTTTAACTTGAGTAAATCTGTATTACATTAGCCATAGGTAGAAATTGGAAGAATTGTGGTTCAGTGGTTAAAAATGTTCTTTGGATGTAGAAAGTGACAGGTTCAAAATTGTGAGTTCTTCAGGGAATGGATGGTTGGTTAGATGTCTCCTTCAGTTCTTGGAGAGCTGATGTCAATATTTGCTGAAGGACTGGAATTGTAGGCTAGATCGATAGACAGTTTAAGTCAACTGATGTCACCTTATTGTGTTTCCAGTGTTTTCTTTGAATGGTACAGAGTTTTGGTGAGTGGGTTCCAAAAGCATGATAACCCACATTCAAGAGTAGAGTGTAGGTTGTTACTGAACTGGGGATTGTTGCTGAAGCATTGGCTATATGTTGTCTGAACCCAGCTATGGTTGGTTAACCTCTAACAACCTATGAAGAGAAACTATGGTTTATTATTGGGTTGTGAACATGGTTCAACAACAGCACATGGTTCAACGACAACTCACCCTCAACCCTTGAATGTGAGTTATGTTGTCTAAACCCAGCTAATATATCCAGTCTGAGCAGTGGAGCACTATGCTCCATCTGTAGACCTGCCATACCTTTCAATTGTGGCACAGAGGAACATGTTGAAAGCCTGAACCACTTCCTTGGAATTATATTCCATCAGTAACTGATTAATTGTTGGATTATGCCATTACTGTACTTTCTAAATACTCATGGATAGCTTTCAAGGAAGCTATTAGAATACCCCAATCTCATGCTTACACCAATTTGAGTAATTAAAAAGTTACCAGGACTGTAATGGTTAAAAAAGATCATAGCTTTATTGCAAGCTGGATTTAATGTCTGGATTTTTTGGCTCATTTTTAAAACCTTACAGAGGCTGTTTACCTTTTTACCACCTGTGTGAAAGGCAGAAACATAGAAACTGAGCGAGTCAGAAATGGCCTCCTGGTCCATCTAGTCTGACCCCCGGCTCCAGCCGGCTCTGCTCATGACATGCCTACCATGTACATGTCTAGCCTATCCTTGAACACCCGCACCAATGGGGCTTCAACCACCTCCCGTGGAATCCCATTCCATACCCTGGGGTCCGAACTGTCAGGAAGTACTTCCTGGCATCCAAATTGAACCTTGGCTCCCTGAGCTTTGCTCCATTGGAGCGCATCCCGCCTTCCTCTTCAGGGGAGAACAGGTCTCTACCCATCTCCATGTGACATCCCCTCACATACCTGTATGTCGCCAACATAGCCCCTCTGAGTCTCCTCTTCTCCAGGCTGAAGAGACCCAGTTCCCTCAGTCTCACCTCATACAGCATCCCCTGCAAACCGGCCACCAACCTTGTGGCCCTACGCTGCACTGACTCCAACCTGGCTATATCCTTCTTGTAATGTACAGCCCAGAACTGAATACAATACTCCAGTTGCGGGCGCACCAGAGTCGTATAGAGTGGTAGTAATACCTCTCTTGATCTAGAAGCCACACTTCTGGCTATGCAACCAAGGGTGGTGTTCGCCCTCTTGACCACCGCATCACACTGCTGACTCATGTTTAACCTGCAGCCAACCAGTACCCGAGGTCCCTTTCACAAGTGCTGCTTTCCAGACACTTGTCCCCCAACCTGTAGTTATGACACCCATTCCTATGCCCCAAGTGCAAGACCTTGCACTTATCCACGTGGAACGCATTCCTGTTGTCCCCTGCCCACTTCCGTAGTCTGTCCAGATCCTTCTGGATCCAGAGTACCTCTTCCTCAGTTGTGGCCACTGCCCCCATTTTAGTATCATCTGTGAATCTGATCAGCAGACTGGTCACCCTCTCTTCCATGTCGTTGATGAAAAGATTGAACAGGAGAAGTACAACAAATAACAGCTATCTCTGTACTGCATCTCCGGAGGAGCAGAAGCCTTACTCTGGACATTCAGAAACATTAATGAATCAAGAAATACTCAAGATGTGGAGAACAGGTTCACACAATCATGGAGGGGCAAATTTACCCTCCCTGTGCATGCCAGTTGCCTGGCTGGTTGTTAGGTTCTGGGTGGCTCGTTATTCATGACAACAAACCACTCTGACCTGGGCTGCACAGCATGACAAGCTGTGGTGCTGGGCATAATTATGCCAAACCACCTGGCACATCACCAGCAGACATGGGAACTGAAATGAGCAGCCCTGGTTTATTTCCCCTGCATGATCATGGCAGCCAGATCAGTCTCTCCCTTTCTCTCCACCCCAAGCGGTCTCAAAAATATCAGTTACTATGTACTTGCCGCTGTGTACATGTAACTGCTCAGTCGGTGGTCTGTATTAACCTGCCAAATGATACATTTTTATCTGACTTCTGTTTATGCTCAAAATTCTATGGAAACAGAGTGGTGAAAGTTTCCTCCCTACTTGTCAGTGCGGTGCAGACAAGGCATTGCCTGGGAGTCTCCACACCTGATACTGTGTGGAAAATAGTACTTTGTATTCACTCACATCTGGGATGAATCCTGTTGTTGGTTGCGTCCATATTACACAACTCTCATTGCCTCTTTCTGAGAGTTCTGGAAATGGATCTCATATTGGTTCTAGATGAGTTAATTTATCTGTGAGAAAACCAGGAGGTAAAATATGGATAAACTATTAACACTCTGTTGAAATTCCAGCCTCATAAAGCAGTAGGAAATTTTCCCAACATCATCCAATAAGAGACAGATCAGATTGTTCACAGCCAGTGGTTGGACCATAATATTCATTTTGAGAAAGGGTGGAGAAGGGAAAAAACAGTAGTGTAAGAACGGGCTGGTGGGAAGGAAACATGCCCAGGATCTGTGTATTTCTTGTCACACTTGTATCCCTTCACAGAAATTGTGGGCTGCAGCCATTTTTTTTGCCTTGACATGGGCCTCTGACCTTTCATTTAGTGGGAATGAGAAGCATTGGAAAAGTGTGGCAATGTTTCTAAAGATAGTGTCAGAAGTAAGGCATTCTTCCAGAGCTTTAACAGGGAGAGGTTTCTGAGAAGCTGGAGTAGTAAAGTGTGTTGACTAACTTTGATCATCCCTCACAAGTAGCTTTCATTTTTTAAGGTGTTTTCATGTGACTGCAGTGACAAATATATGATTTGGCATTTGAGATTTAGATTCCACCTCTCTTTTATGAATGTCGGAGTAGTAAAATATGGAGTATTTAACAGAATAGTTGTGTGCTTTGGAGCTCAAACTGCAGAAGCCTTGTACTTCGCTTTTTTGGTAAGTTAGTTTTATTTTTATTAGTTTGCCATGTTTAAGCAGCCACACCTACCATAGCAACCATTTTGTGAGAGAGCCCTTGACACTTCCAAATGTTCCAAATGTAGCCAATGACTCAAAAAGTTTGGGGCCCCTGGGCTTGCACAGCAGAACCAATGTAACGTATCCCGATATTTCAGAAATGTCTGCTCTTGCAACAGGCTCTACTGATGTAGATACAAAATGCATCTCATGGCAATTAGGAAGGGGCCACAGTTGTGTGCACACTGCAGCCCTCAAGTGTCCTCCCTCAGCACTTCAGCTGCAGGTAAAAGTTTAATCAGAAACACTCTCCAAGATCTCAAGCAAAATATGTTTCTTCTTATTTATGCAGCACCATGAGTGCAGCTGCAGCTTTACGGAGCACAAGATGACAGGTCCCTGTCCCCAAGGACTTAACTTTTGACAAAGGAAAAAGAAAGAAGTGGGGGGCAGGGCCGAATGGAGAGGCAGCATGTAGTGATTTCTACCGAATGTCCTAATGTTTGCTTGCAAGAAAACAGTGCTGGACTAGAAGGGCCGATTCTCTGACTTGGTATACTTTAACTTTAAAAACTAGCG